AAAGAGTGGGTGAGAGAATAAATGCAAACTAAGAGGATTTCCACTACTTGGAGCCCTTGTACACAGACACCCCATCAAAACCGTATCCTAATTTACACTCCATGTTGATTCCCTGTGTGTCTGCAGGAAGCCTCCCTTACTCCAGACTGAGACTGCTTTACATCGGTTTAAATCAGATGGATAAAAAGAATCAATTTATAACTGTCCTATTTTAAGTTAATCCTCAGAAATAAAATAAAACCATCTCCCCGGTGCATTCCCCATGGCTATACTCCAGACAAGGCAGGGGGACAGGAGCTCTGCGCAGCAGAGAGATGCCTGGGAAGGGCACCTGTCCTGTGCAGAGCTTTGCTCCTGCATGCTGGTCCGGAGACCAGACTTGCCCTCATGTGTCTCCTGCCTCCCTCTCCACCAGGTGTTCTCCATCGTGGTGTTTGGCTCTATTGTCAATGAAGGATATGTGAACCGCCTGGACGAGACACAAGAGCACTGTATTTTCAACCGCAATCGCAATGCTTGCAACTATGGCATTACTGTGGGTGTCCTCACCTTCCTCAGCTGCCTTCTTTACCTGGCTCTGGATGCCTACTTCCCACAGATCAGCAGCGTCAAAGACCGCAAGAAGGCAGTTCTCTCGGACATCGGAGTCTCTGGTAAGCTTCCTGGCTGCCTCGTGTAGTGCCCTCTCCACCATGGGCTAGGGAGAGGGAAGGAGCTTTAAGCACCTCACGTGCCAGGCTTCCTGCTAGCGGGGAGCTCTTTCGGCTCCTTATTCTCTCACGTCTTCCCTCTCTCCTTTTCCTTTCTCTTCTTCTCAGCCAAACCCTTCTTCTTGCCTTCTTTTTTACAGTGTCATTCTTCCTCTCTCCCCCTTCAACATTTCTTTCTTCCACGCTTTCTCTGAATGACCTCCTTTCAGTGGCAGCTCTGCAGGCAGCTTCACTGCGGTCCAGTAGTGGGTTAAGGAGACCAAAGGCCCACCTCCACGTGGTGGGCCCAAGTGTGTACACACACACTGCTGTCCTGCTGTTAACAATGGACTGCCACAAACGTGACCTGCAGAAGCGGCTGGCTGATGCCTCTCTGCTGTTTCCTATAGATACAGCTTAGAGGGAGTCCTTTAAGATCAGCATGTCTTGTCTTCCTGCGTGCTTGTGCTTGCTAAGGCTGAGGGTAGATGCCTGGAGATGGTACGTTTTTCTTTTCCAGCTTTAGCATGAGTGTGTGAACCACGTCTATTTCAACATTAAAAAAAAGGTGAAGATTTCATGCAGGCTGACTAAATCATTCCTCCTTAGTCACCTGGCATTCCCTGTGCTGATAATTGCGCAGGACCTTATCCAGACACTGAGTCTTATTCTAATTTACAGTCAGATTCTCTCCATCCCCAGTAGTGTGTAGAACTGACAGACAGAACATGTGTGTGTGTGCATGTTTAAGGCAAGTCGATAGCATCATGATCATGCTGTGATCCTGAGTCGCTATCCTGGTTTATTACAGCAATACAGTGAAACTTCTCCATTTCAAAATTCCCCTGCAACTCATCAAAGGAGCCACAGTGGAGTGAGAGCAGGAGCAGTTCCAGCATCCGAACTTGTTCAGGACTTCTGGCTTGGAAGTTTGTCCGTGTTTAGCACATTTGCCCCTTGTCTAGCAGTCCTATGTACAGCTAATAGGATGCAGAGAGGGGAAGGAATAGGAACATGCTCCAAAAATGTGAGCACTTAGTTTCATTACCACTTACAAATGTCCATTTCCCTCCCCCCCCCAGGCATCTGGTTACACCTGGGAGAAAGGGTGAGTCTTACTCCTCCCCACTAGATGCCAACCTGATTCCAGCCTCCAGCTCCTCCTGCCTTGACCCCTTTCGCAGGGTGCTCTGATCCAGAGCATTTCCCTGCAGGAAAATGCTGTGGCACCCTTGCTGTTTTGTCTTTGTTTTCCAGTGCTTTTCTCCCACCCTGTTTACTACTGTAGGGTGTTACCCATCTTTTGGAAAAGGTGTAAAACTGAGATGCTATTAGCAAACAGTGCGGGATATTAATGATCTCTCAGCAGCTCTCTTCGACGTAAGGGCCTTAGCTCTGCTAGCCTGAGCAAAGTCCAGTCACTGTGCAATTGCAGTCTGGCTGCTTCCCACCCTTCTGCAGTTCCTGTGGAAAAAATTGCTCTTCACTTGTCCTTGCAGGACAGAGTTGTAAAGCAGTGGCTGTTTCAGAGAGCCTAAGTGATCTCTTCTGTACTGGAAGCCCTTCAGACTCCCTCTCAGCACCAAATGCAAGTCCCGTGACCAATCCAGAGACAAGCAAATGAAAACTCCTAACAGTGCTGAGGTACTTTCTGCAGGCACCTATTGTCACCTTGACAATTTGGCCATCAGTGAACCTGCCAGCTCACCTGGGTTTAGAAAGGCTGCCCAATCTGTAGCACGGTAGAGGATCTCGCAGGGTCGAAGGTTCAAGAGAAATACAATATGTTCATGATCTGTTGTCACTTACCTTTTTGATTTCTCTCCTCTTCTCATTTGGCATGACAATCAGTGGCAAGTTTCAAAAGAAGAGGACAACCCGATGAATGAGGGAGGGGATGCAGCCCGAGCAGCCATCACATTCTCGTTCTTCTCCATCTTCACCTGGGTGAGTAAAACAGCCATGATGCTGGATCAAGTGTCCTCTGCAGTGTATTAGCTTGTGGGGATAGAAGGTGCCCACCTAAGACTGATTCCCTCTGAAATCCCAGTTCGCACGGCTTCTGAGAAGGAAAAACGGGAGGGGAGGGGTTTGCAGGCTAACTTGGGAACAGACTCCAATCCTTATGTGGAAGAAGGTGCTAGAGCATTAATAAGTATGACAGAAATGAGAGTCCCATATCCCAGTCAGCAGTGTCCTTGACAAGCCTCTAACGTGACCTTGGACAAGCCAGCGTCCCCAAGCAACATTTCCCCATGCGTCGAAGAAGTTTAACAGCACTGCTGCCTCACAGACACTGAAGATAGAAGGGTGCTCCAGGCCTGGGGCTGCATCCATCTTTCTCCCTGCTTTGCTCTCATTGGGTGAAATGTCACCAGGGCCACAAGAGGCTGCAGTCTGTGACCCTCGCAGCTCTCACAACGTAGTCTGCACCCATGATGACAGGTCTGCCTCACTGAGTCACTCAGGAAAATGATGGTGGAGTCTCTTAGACTTCCCTTTCCCTAGCAATTCCTTGCCTGCGCAGACTGTGATGCCCAGTATAAATATCATCTACAATTTTGTCCCTTCCCCCGAAGCCCTAGTTCTGAGCAATTTTTGTCTGTAGTGATAAGAGGGAGCCAAACAGGACAGCATTTTAGGCCAATCTCCCTGTGAGTTCCTTGGGTGCATCTCTTCAAGGAGATATTTTATCAGCCCTCCACATAAAGGCTCCTGCAAAAGAGCCTGTAAGTGAGAGCTAGAGTGTGCTCACTGTGCTTTATGTTCTCCCTACAGGTGTTATAGTGGGGCAGTTGCGCCCAGATAGGAAGGGTGCTGTCACACAACAAACCTGTCATAGAGGGAAGGGGACTGCCAGGGGTTGAGAGTTGTGCAGCCAGCACCTTGGCCAACATGACAGCGGGGGCAAGGGACTGCAACAAGTCTGTCCCCCCACAAGCTGTGTCCTGCGCTCTGAGTGCTGCTGAAGGCCCCTTGCAAACAGCAGTGCTCCTCTGGCTCCGGCAAAAAGCGCGACAATAGCCAAGGCATTTGCAAGGGGTCCCCCAGGACTCTCTTTCAGAGAAACGCTCTCAGCAGAATGACCTGTTGTTGTCCTCTCCTGTGCATGGGCTGCAGGTGGCTGAATAGGCAGCCTTTCCTCCAGTTTCTTCCTTTTTTTTTGTTTCAGTCGAATGCTCTGGTTTGCTCTTTCATACTGATTCTCCTCCCCACACCCCTCTCTCTCCTCACAGGGCTCCCTCACATATCTGGCTTTCCGGAGACTCAGAGACATTACTTTTCAGGAAGAATACAATACGCTTTTCCCTAACTCCCCATCCTTGCTGCCTTAACTACCTGCACTCATGGGGGAGCTTGGGAGAAGGGGCTGCAGATGGAGGAGGTCACTGAGCACAGACATTTCCAACTCCCTGAGCATGAGCGTCAGTGTGGCATCACTGCAGGGTGAGATGGGCCTTTGAACAGGAATGGGCCAGGCTGTCCACTGAATGGGTAATTTCCCACTGGGAGTTGGAACTGGCAATTTCTTCTCCTCTTCTGCCCCCCCTTCTCTCCCTCACCTGCACCCTAACTAATCCTGAGTAACACTGCTGTGCCTTTCTCTCAATGACTGATTAGATCTAATATTTCAGCCAGGAGACACCATCTGCTCCCACCAATACATCTTTTCTATTTCCTTCCGCTCCTCATTCCCCCCGGACCTCTCCCCCAGGGCAGTCCCAGACCTGCTAGACTGCTCACTTCTATCAGGGATGCTCTGGGAAGCTGAGCCATGTGTGCTGGGGTGTGCAATGATGAACACTGTGCCGAGGCTCCTTCAATCCACCGAAGAGCAGTCTGCCTCCACTGCCTGAGGCAGGAGGCAGCAACATGCTTGTTAACCACCCCGGTCTGGGAAATGGCTGCCTTGCCTCCCTGCCCTTTTTCCCCAGGTCTAAGTTGCCTGCTGCAGATGTTGTCCAGTTAACTGTAGTGAAAGGGTTATCAGGGGTGACCACTACCTCACTACTATGGGTCAAATTCTGCTCTCCTTTCTGGCCTCTGGGAGCTCCAGGTGAAACAGCTCATATATCCAGCCCAGCAGATGAAGCTCTGGTAGAGCTGAGGCAAATTGCCTCCCCAGGGGCAGAAGACTCTTAACTGGATATCCACAGGCTGTCTGAGCCTCTGCAATCTGTGCCATATTGGTGAAACCCCATCACGGGGCAGGAGATGCCCAGCACACCTCAGAGACAGCTGTGAGCCCCAGCAGGCTGCATGCAGCCAGCTGGAGTCACAGCCGTCCCAATTCACCCACCTCTCTCTCCTGGTGGGCTCATGCTTTCTGAGGGGCAGTCTAAGTCTCCTTGCTCTCAGGCGTGTTTTACCGGTGGTCTTCCAGATGGGCTTCACACACTAATCCATAACCACTACTAACCTCACTTCTGTTTGTTTCTCTTTTCGGTACGTTCCCCTCTTTTTCTCCCATCCCCTCTCTGCTTCCCATCTCTTTCCTGTACCTCCTACCTTAAAGGTGGGCCAGGCATTCC